GTTTATGAAATGTTTTAATTAGACTTTCATTCTATTACAACAAATATCGTCTAATTTATATTGGATTAACCTATTTATGACGGAAAATCCTTACTTAGAATGGCAGTCCAATTAAAATATTTCATGAACTCATCCAGACTTTCATTCCATCTCTAGCATGCAGTTCAAATAAGAAGGGATACCCCATTCTTGGAAGGAAAGTTTTCAAGTAAGACGGAAAATTTTAAAATTGGAATTACATTTTTTCAGATGGAATGAAAATTTAGAATTTAGAATGTAATTTTACTCTAGAATGATTATTTAATTCTGGAAAATTTTTCTGTTGATGTCTGAAGAGGGTGGCCCTTGTTCCCCAAAGAAAGGTAGTAAAACAGAAGATCAGAAAAATTTCGATCGTGACTCCCTCCGATCGTTAAGCTTTTAGCCAGGTGTCAACCCCGTATCTATGCCAACTATCTGCAGTCAAATGTATATACGTAGCGAAATCCCCCTTCCATTCACAGTTTCCCTCCCTCTCATGATGATCCCATCATCCTTCTCGCTATGTCCCGTGATTTGGTAGGCAAGTCCTCGTGAGAATGCATCCTCATATTACGCAGACCACTTCCAATCTTCAAGAGGGATCCGAGAAAATTCAAAAAACTTTTCGCAAAAATATACAATGCCGGAACGCTCTATCAATTCCCATGTCTAATTGAATTTTCCCTTATCCATCGTTTCATAAGAGGTAACCCAGTCTATCCGAGGGGTCTGAAGTGCCAAGAGAAGAGAAGAAGCGAGGGAGGAAGAAAAACGTCAAGGGAGAGGGAAGAAAAAGGAGGAGAGAGAAGGGAGACGCGAGGAAAAAAACTGATTCTGGCGCAGTAAATTGTTGTCCCGACAGTAGCTCTGTGTTCTCGATTATACTCCGAAAAACTTCTGGTTATCGTTGGAATTCCGAAGGATCCGAGAAAAAACCACAAAAAAACACAGGCGAAAAAAAAGTGTGATGCCAATCCGTCTCATGTACGATCAAATCTTTCCTACCCTTCGTC